ACTCATCAGATCTCAGTTCTGCTGAGGGATGGGGGGGAAGGTGAAAAGGACCCCCAAAAGCCTCCTACTTGCATGTCTCCATCTTCATTCCCTGTTTCCCACCTGATGGCTGGGACTGCCTCTTTCCGAGGCAGGAGACAGCACTGAAGCCCTGAGCCAGCCTGGCAGGTGGCACCTGCAAAAGCTGCTTTGCCACGGAGGGGGGGCCTGCTTTGCCAAAACCTCGAGCCCGCTCAGGGAGATGCAATAGGAGTTGGCATCACTCCAGTTATTGCCGTGAATAAGAAAGATTAAGGCAGTTGCTTCACTAAAACAAAAACAAACCCTTCTTGTGGGTTCCTACCTGTCTACTTTAATAACTGAAGGATGGTCACAAATCGGCTTAGTTTCATGTCTTGTTTTACAAGAGGGGAACAGAATTCTACGGAGACTCAGCACCAGATTTTTGTTAGAAAAGCTCCAGTGTGGAGCATTTGCCAGCAGAGTTCGACTCTGCAGAGGTTACCTGAGCCCTTTGAACTGCCTGGCCCACCTGCGGGCACCGAGCACTCGGACGGGACCCGTGCAAACTACCCGGAGCTTCCCCAGGAGCCAGCACGAGGGCTGGGATCTTGGCTCTGTCCCCCAAGGCACACCCCATTAAGGTACACCAACAGCTTTTTTAAATTTATCTATTTACTTTTTCTCCCCCTTTTGACAGCAGGCACTCGTTGCACAGCTCTGTGCATCTCCTCTCTGCAGCAGCCTGGTCCTGGAGACCAGAGCCAGAGTAGCACCTCATGGTCTCCTCCTCCTTGTCAGTACCGATGGTGAAGTTATCCCTCTGGATAACACCGACCTGGGGTAGGAAGCCGATATTCAGTAACCTTTTGCAGCTCAGACCATGCGTTGGTGTTTCTGATCTCATTGTAAATGGCCTGTCGGGTCTCTTGCTCGCTACAGATAACTTGGAAAGAATAAAACAAAATTGGGAAAACAGTGTTGTCACAGATGTCTCAATTCTGTAGCATTTTTGACACCTTGCTATCATAATAAGTTGTGTTTTTTTATCTGTGGGTATTTTGCAGGAATAATTGCATTTCACTGCCAGCAGCAAAGTAGGCAGTTACCGAGCTGAATCCAGCCCTATTCCCATGGATTCAGTAGGATTTGTTCACATCGCTATCAGATTTGGAAACCACAGGCAGTTTAGTTTTCCGTGCTTATATCCACTAGACATCACTTGGCACTGTGAATTCAGGGCCAAATTAGTTTAAGTGCATGCAGACATTTTCTTTTGTGCAGCTTAACAACTTTACATCATTGCCTTGAAAAATGTTACCGTAACAGTTCGCCTGATAGAGAAGAATATATTAAGACCCGCGCTTTATCCGTAAGCAAGTTTTAAAGGTCATGTTTTTCAGGCAAATCAGATTATTTCAATATATAAGCTTTTTTTGTAAGCTTTTTAAGACTATGGTATTTCAAAACAGCAGGAACTCACGCATCCTAGTTGTTACTTTCCACCGCTCTTATTACTGGCTTACACGTTGCAATCCTACTCCATGCCGATACCGCAGGCTCAAAGGAGCCGAGGCTGTCGAGGAAAAGTTCAGTTGTAAAAAAAAAAAAAATAATCTGGGACTTGTGAGAAGAGGCACTTGCTGGAATTATAGCATTTAAGGCATCATTATCATTCAGAGCATCTAGCTAATGCATTATTACTTTAGTCGTTTATTAAATTTGAAAAATCACATATCAAACTGATTGTAATGTCCGCCACCCAACAGGTATCTGATTGGGGTGTATGGGATTGAGGAACTGCAGCAGATCTGGTATTTTTATGGCAGCAGTGCCATCGTGTGGGAAGCTCCCACGCACGCCAGGAGAGTGATGCCTCTGTGATGGGTGTGCTGGTGAGAAACCTCCCTTCCTCCTGGGGGTTTTCAGGGAATTTCAATAAAAATAGCATTTTCGTTTCTGGAAATGTGCTACAAAACCAGGAAATTTCATAGCTAGGACCAGGTTGGTAGTGTTAAATCTTCTTAATACGTTCACTGTTACTTCGGTTCCACAAAGGGGTGAATTCAGAAACAAAGTGTTTGCCAAGTCTGACAGGGAGCTCCCTTTTCCTCTGTATGCAGCTAATATAGCTAGATATTCATGCTCTTACAATTTCTCTTTATATGTATTTTATCTCTCAACATCTGTTTTCAGCTGCTGTTTTACAAGGCTTCATTATAAGCTTTCCATTTCTCAAGCTTTTCCATGTAATGATACAATTACTATCCCTGGTTTCTGCTTCTGTTTTGTTTTTTTTTTTACGTTTTCCTTTAAATAATTGAACTTATATGTTACATCCATAAAGAAAATTGCCAATAATTACCAGGAGTACAATTAGGAATAAATCTCCCTTAAGGAACAAGCCAAAGTTCAGTGTCTTTATGCAAATGCCTATTGTTAAAAAGTTGTCTTGTGTAATCAGGAATTATACTGACAAGTGAAGAATCATTTAATTAATGAGAATAGAGCAATCATTTGGATGGTTCGTTCTATTACCGACTGAATAAAAAAGAGAAAATAGCCCTGCTCAGGGATTAGAGCTGCTGCTGGAAGAAATAAGCCCCACAATGTTGTTCTGTTACTGCCTTGTGTAGATATAAAAACACATATGCCAAATGTTAGTATTGGGCATCGAAAATTAATCTTCTATTACATCACAAGAACTTATACAAAAGGTTTCTGTTTATGCTGACTATCTGCTGCTCCTGCTAACCTGGCAGACTGGACTATTTGGGCAAAAATACTCACGTAAGTCCTAATGCAGGACGTTAGGGTAGCGAGAACCAGAATTATGGTGACTTATGTCTGTAAGGACTGTGTGCCGTGATAGAGAGTAGCATATGGACTGTGTTTGCAGTTGCAGAAGAGTAATTACGGCGGGAAAGGACCTCCGGAGGTCTCCAGCCCAGCCCTCTGCTCAAGGCAGGTCCAGTTCGGTCAGGTTGCTCTGGGCCTTGCCCACTTGGCCTTTGAATATCGCCAAGGATGGAGATGTCACAAATTCTCTGTTCCAGTGTTTGACCTCTCCCATTTTCCTTTTATCTAGTCGAAATTGCTCGTGATCCAGTTTCTCCCAGTTGCATCTCTTCCTGTCACTGGGTCTGGCTTCAGCTTCTCTACACGCTCTCAATAGGCAGCTGTAGGCAGCAATGACAGCAATCCTGCGTACGGTCCCCATGCCTCCAAAGCTCCTCCGAACATGGATCTCTCGTACCAGCTATTCTGTCTCTTGCAGTGGAGAGTCCTCCCGTCCTTGACTTATCCCTGCCCCCTCGGGAAGCTTTGGGATGGGGTTTCCCTAAGTTGGCATTGGGTTTGGGACAATTCAAAATACAGCCCAGGCAACTCCGACGTCGTTCGCCATTCTCCAGGGCTGGACCTTCAGCGATGTACTGTCAGTAGGCATTGCACAGAATTTGTCCCACTTCTTATGCACACAAAGCTATGCGAACAAGGTGACTCTGGCATCTCCAAAGCCATATGTTATCACCTGCAGCCTGTTCCTCAAGGGCAGTGTTCCCTTTGGTACGGCACCGAGGTGGACAAGCAGTTCCCCTCTGAACAGGTTGGGACCTCAGTCACGGGACGTACTCCTAGGTAGGAAGCAGAAGCTTACTCCAGAGCTGTGCTGGGATTTAAGCCACTGATGGCTGCGTGAAGTCTCCCATTCCTGGTAGGACCACAACATAAGTACATGGTCATCTGGACATACCATAGAAAATTTAGTGGCTTCATTGACATGACTACCTGTTCAATTGGCATTAGAGATGGAATGATCTCTGTACAGAGCAGTTGCCGTGTGCATTCAAACTCCCTTTCATAATATTGCATCTTTCTGAGGTTGAGGCAGACGACTGCACTGAGCTGTTACGGTAGCCCTGGGCCAGCGGGACAGCTTTTCTTCCCGCTTCGATGCAGCACAGACTCTGGTAGCAACATCCCAGAGCTCTGCTGGTTTGTGTGCGCTTGGATTTTTTGCATGCTGTGTCAAATGATTGCACAGGTAATTGTTTGCCTTCCAACACTGAAATGAAAAACAAGTTTATTACATGAAGGAAAACATTCCCCCTGTTTTATTCTTATTAAGTGTAATCATTGAATTTTTTTATTTTGGGTAACCAGATGCACCCAGCTGCTACTCTAGTCACTTCTGGAGGTTTTTAAAAAAACACTCTCCCCAGGAATAAATGAACTAAATATGAAAATCTTCTTCCAAACAAAATTCTCGTTTCTCAAACTGTTCATCCCACAGGAAGTCTAGCTAAATACGTTGGCCTTGCAAGCTGCCCGGTAAATCTTTGGCGGTGGGCTGGGTACAGAGGTGCAAAGATGAGTGAATTTGGCAGCCAAGAACCTTCCTATGGAAATCACTTACTAGCAGGTCGCACGCTCCCGTTGAGCAAGATTAGTTTAGGTCGTCACTGACTGCAACTAAGATGGTTCCGCTCTCGCTCCAAAGCAGCAAGTAGGTAGCCTGATAAAGATCAGTTTACAATAAGGTAACGTGTATCCTGTGGTACATCTGAACTGTATTTTCCTTTTTTTTTTTTTTTTTAATTAAAATGTCTCTTCTTCAGTGATTAAAACGCAAAATATATGTTGTCAAATATCCAATGGACCACAAAAGTCGATTGACATAGCCTGTAGTGAAAGCTAGTTAAGAAAATATGGTCTATTAAGTAAAACATTTTCATTAAGGGTCTTAAAAGAAGGAGAGAGAGACTTGTGTGTGCTTTCCTGTATCTAGAGTGGAGCACAGATATCCATGTGCTCAGTCTTACAGGCAACCCAATATTCAAGCTTTCTTTTCTGGCTAAATCAGTCCATCTGGATTCATCAGCTGCTTGGCTTTCCAAGACACGTGGGAAGGTTTCAGGTAGCCAAATCACATCCTCGCGCTCTCAGGTGCCACCCTCACCGCCCCGCTGTAACCCCTGACTCTGTGCTTTCTCCTCAAGGATTTTGGAGCTGCAGCAGAACGGCGACATGGACATACTGAAGCATAAGTGGTGGCCGAAGAACGGTCAATGTGATCTTTACTCATCTGTGGATACCAAACAGAAAGGAGGTGCCCTGGACATAAAAAGTTTTGCAGGTGTTTTCTGCATCCTCGCTGCTGGGATTGTCCTATCCTGTTTCATTGCAATGTTGGAAACGTGGTGGAATAAAAGGAAAGGCTCCCGGGTCCCATCAAAAGAGGTATTAGACCCTCCGTTTCTCCTGGGGAATTTTCATGCACCCTAAAGATTGCTGCCTTGACTTTATAGCGTTAGAGAGGGCGGGGAATCAAATTCAGAGATAATTCCTTAGCTTCCTGATTTTTTAAGGCAAATGTTATTCCTCAAAATCTCTTTAGCTATTCTTTCTAGAAAAGCTTGAATGAAAAGAAAAAAGATGTATCCGGATGATGTGTTCGGAGTAAAACACAACTGTTACTTGTAGAATAGCACATCATTAATACATCAGTATTTAGTTCATTATTCCCATTGGTGAGAGCTAATTCTCACCACTAAGTTCAAAGGTTTCTTGGCTGCTTCTTGAAAAATATATCCCCTAAGCTCAGTGGCTGAGTCTTTCAAAACAGCCCTTTAATTAGCAGTTAGCTTCTTAAATAAGCTTGTCCCCATTTTCAGAAATGTTAACCGCTTGAGACTTCCATGAACTTCAGTTCTCGTTATCTCCTCTGAAGTCCAGGGAAGCAAGAGTACGTTATTCTTGGCCATAATTATTTCTGAAATCTACTACAGACCTATTTCAGAAAATCTTGGACGGAGACCACGGGGAGGTTTGTTATTTTACACCAGAGATGAGTTTGCTTCTACACCCGCGTGTGTGATGCTTTCCTTCCCGTGGCAATCTACCTGTCCCTTTACCAGCCATCTGAGCCTTATGCAGTCTCACAACAAATTTCTTACCTTCATAATTAAGTCTTTAGCTCTACAAAATACTAGAAAAACGTTAGGAAAAAAAGAAGTTATTAAAATGTACTTGGCAGCGGTGCCCAAAGCTGAACCTAAATATGAGCTTTAATGTAGCACTATCAATTATAACTTTGCTATCTGTGTAGCTTAGACACATCTGTGTAGCTCGTGGGGTATTGCTATTAATTTGTGTGCAGTGGTCTCACCTTCTCTGCAGTTTCTCCATTGTGTTTATTCCTGCTAATCTAATGCTGTGTAATCAGGAAGGATTAATTACACTACCTAATTAGACAGCATTGGCACTGATGTTAGAATACGTTTCATCTTTTCTTGCCTGTTTTAATTCCCAAGCTTTTTTTTTTTTTTGTTCAAGATCTGGACCGGACCATTATTAAAAGGAAAAAAAAAGAACCTCTAGTCTTTAAATTGGGTTTCCCGGGAGTGGAAACCATACAGTTTCAACTGGTAAATTATTTTTAAAACCTAAAATTTACTTGATTGATGTTTACCCAAACTTTCGGAACTTCATACTTCATATTTATCTGGTGCAAAACATAAAAATAAATAACAAAGGAAAAGAAAAATCCAACACGGATATTTTATATAACTATAAAATTTCCTATTTTAATTTTCAAATGCAGAGAAATTCAAGTGTATACTTTCCACAAATGGTATAATTTGGCCTCCTTGATCTTTGTTACGTGGTCACTAGCTTAGCACTTAAAATTGCATCTCAACGCTAAATTGAAAAGCTTGGCTCAAAACTGAGTTTAACGTGGACGTATGTGCTGAATGTTCCCACTATCCTGGATGTGGGGGTCATTCAGCAAAGAAATACATCGTAACTAACTTTCTTAAAATTCATTTTAGCTTCCATGAAATCCATTGGCTCTTCCAGGCCACTAGTCCAGAATCGGGGGTCAGATTGGGCCAGTTTGTGGTCAGCAAGCCAACCCTTTTTCCTGGTGGCTGCCATCTTGTGCTCCAGAATGCAAGCATTTATACTGAAAAAAATTGTCTTATGGTTGCGAAGATAACATTTCGGTCGCGTGCCAGAAGTAATCCATTCAATGATGTCTGCCTGAGTCTGCAGACAGCCTTAAACGGTAGCTCTGAGAGAAGTATGAACCGCCCCAGTAATCTCAATGGGATGTTGACTCTGAAGCCTGATGATAATTTAAATGTGAAAACTGCTGAATATTTCACTACTGATCACACAAGAGAGAAGAGGAAAGATCATATTATGGAGATATGCACAATCTTACTGTGAGTGGGTCTCATTTTGGTGTATCGATTGGGTGGAGATCGGGTTGTGGGCTAAGCATGGGAGAATATCACCGCTTATATATTTTCACTGGTCTGACCCTAGCCCCAAATGCATCTCTGTAAGAGAAGAAAGAGGAATATTTTGAGTAACTTGTAGAGGCTCAGAAGTGACGAAATTCCAATCTTTTCCCCATTGGCATTTTAAATTACAAAGTGTTTGTATGTTTTTTTTAAAATTAAAAACAAACAAACAAAAAGCAAACAAAAGAAAACCAAACCAAAATCCATCCAAAAAAAAAAAAAAAAGGAAAAATATTTAGGACTGTCCCTCAGAGACATAGTCATGACCTGCACGTGCTAACAGAGCCTCTGTATATTTCTTTAGCTTCCAATGTGGCCCCAGTTCTTCTGCATCCATATGCAGCGCCAAAGTTTTTAGAAGAGAGCGTTTGGTGAATGCGTTTGGTTTTGATGTCACCTATGTGGTTGTTATGTGCATCCATGTCTATGTCCACGTGTGAATAAACTATAGACAGAAAGCTGAGTCCGAGAAACGAGCACTGCATTTTTTCCTTCCTGTGGTGAGCTCAACCCAAAACCTCTGTGGTCAGCGATCCTCCGGTCCCTGGCAGATCCCTGATGCCCCGTTCCCTGCCCCTTTGCCCCCGGTTTGTCTCCCTTTCCCTGCCCTCGGAGGGTAAAATCCCAGAGGGGAGCTGGCCTCTCAGTCTCCTTCCAGTCGGGCTCCGTGATCAGCACGGTACCAGTGCCAATATTCAGTGAGTCGTCTTGCTAAAAGTAGATGAACTCCTGCAGTTTGTTCTAGGTGTGGACTTTTTCAGAGTGCTTGACTTCATTCCTAGACAAAGGAGGGATCTCAAGCCCCCTCGGTATACTAGGAGTTTTGCCATTGATTCAGGGAGCTCTGGATCAAGCCAGTCATTGAATTGCAGTAATCAAGGCTGGAAGTCGTCAGTGCACATCTATCGGCTGCCTAATTATCCTCTGTGAGGTCCTAGAGTCTGAGCTATTTCTAGTGGCCTGGAAGAGCCAGTAGATTTCACAGAGATTAAGGTAAATTTTAAGATTAGTTGAAATCGATTTTTGTTCTCAATGAGCTGAGGGAATACCCCTGTATGCGCACACTTAATGCCGCTTTGAATGAAGCTTTGCAGTAGAAATACGTATGCACAATACAGGTGATTTATGTGTCACCCAGGACTTCCTCCTCTTTTTTAATTTCCGTCCATTTAAATCCTCAATTATGACAGACAAACCTTTTTAATTGAGTTCTCTGGGAGGAGAGATTTAAGAAGGAAAAGGGACAGAGGTAAGAGGACGAATGATATATTATAATAAATAACCCAGGCTGCCTTGTCTTCATCTCACCCACAAGAGCATAATTCCATCAGAATGGATGGAATTGCTTCTTTGTAGGTAAGGGGAGAATTAATCCCTCTGTTGGCATCGCAGTTTAAAATTGCCTGGTGTATTCCTTTCTGTGTGATGTCAATGAGTCACCAGTGCTTGGGGGATTGTCTGGAAGTTCAGCTTTTCTACACCACAATTTATATTATAAAGGCAAAAAGCAACCCGAGGTGTTTTTACCCCTTCCCTAAGCCCTGAGAGGATGACAAAGATGGCAACTTGATCCCTCAGAGCCTCCCATGTTGACATCCAAACCTGGCCCTCATTGCGGAGTTGAAGAACTGGCATCGTCCCAGGCGTTTGAGCTTACGCTTTGCTTTCACGGCACAAATTTTACTGTTATTCAGCCGTTGCTAGTCCAACCCACCTAGCTCCGAGCCTGGCTTTTCCTGATGAAAACCTACCGGTAGCACTTGGAGTTTTGTTGTTCGGATTCGGGGTTTGAAGGTGGCTGTGGTGGAAGGGTCTGCCTCGGTTTGGCTTAGCCCACCCAGGTTCAGGCGGTGAGGGGGTTTGCCGGTGACGTTGAGAGATGCCGTCAGCCAACAGCCAGCTGTAGTTAACTGTGCGTTGTGCTTCCCGAGCGGTTCTGATCGCACCGTGAAGCTTCAAGCCAGCACAAATGGCGATGGTGAGCGGTGCCTCTTGTTTTTCTCCTTCCCCAGGACGACAAGGAGATCGACCTGGAACACCTCCACAGGCGCGTGAACAGCCTCTGCACAGACGACGACAGTCCCCATAAACAGTTCTCCACCTCATCGATTGACTTGACCCCGCTGGACATTGACACTTTACCCACACGTCAGGCACTGGAGCAAATCAGTGACTTCAGAAACACTCACATCACCACAACCACCTTCATACCAGAACAGATCCAGACTCTGAGCCGCACGCTGTCTGCTAAAGCCGCTTCGGGTTTCTCCTTCGGCAGCGTGCCCGAGCACCGAACTGGCCCTTTCAGGCACAGGGCACCCAACGGTGGCTTTTTCAGAAGCCCCATCAAAACAATGTCATCGATCCCTTACCAACCAACTCCTACTCTGGGGCTGAATATCGGTAGCGACCCAGACCGAGGCACCTCCATCTGAGCATCAGGCCAAGTTTCTTCACTGTTTCTTTTCTAGGACTCCCTTTGCAAGGAGCAGCTGTAATATTGTGGGACTAACATGGATGTCACCTTTTTTCTTTTCCTTATTTTTTTGGTTTTGAGGTGTGTTTTTTTTAATTTGTTTCAGGGTTATTTTCTGTTTGGTTTGGTTCTGGGTTCCCCCCCCCCCCCCTTTTTTTTTTTTTATTTTATTTAAGAACCAGGATTATTAGTAACAACTCTTCCTCCTCCTCTTCTCTGCTTTCTCAGTCTGGTCTCCTCTGTCTCCCCTTACTCTCTTTACTACTTGAATCACTTATTCTTTGGTTTATCACCACCTTAGGTTTTGGTTACTTCAGGCTTTTCATATACTTTAAATATAGGAAACGTGCAGCGATTCATGCATAGAAAAACCCTGAGGATTACTTTATAGAAGGGCATTCGCTCCTCCTCCCCCACCGCCTTTTTTTACTATAATTGCAATAACTTAAGTCCTTTTCATGTATTCTGCTGCATCCTGTCAGCGCTCCACTGCTGTGTGTCCTTTTAACTGTGGACCAAAGGCAAACCCTGGAGTTCAAAAAACGGAAAAATTAAAAAAAAAAGGCAAAAAAGAAAAAAAAAAAAAAAGGAAAACAAAACAAACGAAATTAAAAGACCATTCAGGCCCTGTAATACAAGAATGCAATTTTGTAGGATTACAAAAAGCCATTACTATGCCAGTAAAGACTACAGTTAAATCTACTTTTGCACTGCAACAGTGCATATGACCTTTATGTGATTGTACAGTGTTAAAAGTTTTTCTTATGTACAGTAAACTGTATCATATGGCAGAAGCCTCTGTTGTGTTAAATAAATTAGTATCTCATACAAATATATATATACATATATACACACAGGTATGTGTATATATATATATACATGTATATATAGCTATAAAATGGCAGCCGTTGCTATTGCAATTCATTTAATAAAGCTTTAGTAAAAATGTGTTGTATACAGGAGAGATGTACAGTGCAGGGGGTCTTTTCGTTTAGAAAAGACAGGTTGCTTTAATGTTATTCTGACTTGCATCGTTTGCCAACAGAGCATATTTTATACTTTTTTTATTAGAACATCCAGGGCAATTTAACGTTTGTACCTAGATGTAACTCCTTTGGTTAGGTTTTGCATTGGCTATTGAGCATTCTATAAGGCTAACCTTGATAATTTTACGTTTAATTAATTAGACAAATGGAACTCTCTCTTAGGTATACCATGTTCATGAACAACTAATATAGCTCTAGAGAAGCTTAAACCTAGATCAAAGGTTAATAAACTATTTTCCAAATCGGTGCAGTTGATCAATACAATAATGGTGTTAGTGGAGACAAAAAAAGCCCTCGAGAAATACGGATGTGGCCTTAATTATAATCACGTATTGTTCTAAGGAAAAAAAAAAATATGAACAGGCGCTCATTTTAACCCTTTATATGTTAAGTTAGATTTAGAGGAGCTACGTATTTTTTACATTAGTGCCAACTGTATAGAACAAGAGAAAGAACAGCAGTGAGAGCAAAACCAGTGCCCACTTTGGCACCAGCTTTTTGAAGTAACGCTGTTACCTGTTAGAAACGTAGGAAGAGCTTTCAATTTGTAATCCTTAAAACTAAAAATGCGGTTAAGTAGAAAGCAAGCAGTTTATCCTGTGAGTTTTTTGGTTTGGTTTTGTTTATAATGCAACCATACACTTATTTTAACCTAACTCATTCTTTGGCTAGGATTAATAGGAATCAGCCTATGTGATTTGCTTTAGGATAAATTAAAAGGTATATTCTTCAGATCTATTCTATTTTGATGCTAATTCTGTTCTGGGGGAGCATCTTGTACTGTCACTGTTTTTTGTACTAAATCTTCAAATATTGTCTACTGTGTAAGGCAGAACAAATTCTTATCGTGCAAAAGGCCATTTTGTTTCCAGGGTAGCAAGTGTCTAAAAGCATGCACAACTTGCTTCCCCCTTGTAACATTCATGAACTCATCCACACTTCTGAGTAAAATAATAAAAAAAAAAAAAAAAAGAAAATTTGTTTCCAACAAGCTACGTAGGGACATACCAGATGTTGCAGTGATTTTAGCTATTAAAAAAAAAAAACCTGTTAACCATGTACGATATTTAAAATAGGCCTATTTTGATGTGTTGCCTATTATACAGATACACAAAACACTTTTTGGAGGCCTCAGTTACAAGTGGCAGAGCTTTCTGTGTATAATTTGTCTAAATAATTTGTCTAATAAAATTGTTTTCTAAACTTGCGTTTCCTTTAATTGCCGAGTGCTGTGGGATTTTTGGTCTGTGGCAAGGTGTCCACTCGTGAATGTTTTTGCTGCACCACTCCTGAAGGCGATTTAGCCCACGGAGATGGGATGAGCTCGCCAGGCTGCCACGAGTCAGCTCAGTGTAGAGCATCCATGGAAATCACCAAGATTTACCACGTTTATCAACGTCAGGCTTAGATTTCAGAAAACATATACAGACAGCATTTTGGAGAATTATTTTAGAGTTCATTGGCACTGACGTGTACGGGACGTGATTTGTAGAAATACTGCATCCCACCTCCATCCTTTTTAGCATAATCTAGGAATTTTCTTGGAACATGGTCATTGTTTTTATGGAATCACATTCTGCCATCTTTATTTGCACAGAAGTTCGTTTGCTCTGATACTGGACATACATTGCCTTTAGACGTGACGAAAGCTTTAGCGTGAGAGAATTTAGCCTGTATTTCATTATGGCCTTCTCAATCCTTAAATCTCATTAACATGTTAAACTTAATGGCCTCATCATTAGTAAGCTGTGCAGAATGTATGGCAGTAACATCAGCCATGATGATTTAACTTGCAGCATCCAAAGTTTGTCTGCTGGTTTTTTACATTCAGTGCATTAAATTCAGTGTATTTCATTCACTTAATAATGTTTTTGACCTCTTACAATTTTCTGTTAAGCTTAGCAGGCATTCAGGGATTTCATTTTATAGTTCCAAAAATACACTGGAAGGAGTCCTCAGTTCATTGCTGTGTTAAAAAACAGTATGAATACAGATAACATAAAAATCTAAAGGAAGTTGAAAGTGACTTGAGGTTAAAATTTAAAGGTGCCTATGCATTAATGGCAATAGGCTCGTACGTCAGTGGGCACTAAACGCCTAGCAACAGGATGCTAGAAGCTTTTGTCGTCAGGCTACTTTTGTCATTTCATAAAAATCAGCCAAGAGGCAAGCTCTACTTATTTTCTCTGAGGCCGAGCTGTGGCAAACTGAGGCACTGACCCTACAAGCCCTTACGCACATTACAGCGTCTACTAGGGGTTCCCTTGGCCACCAAGATGCTCGCGTGACCAGGGTCCCGGTGTTAGGCGTTTCCTGGTCTGTAAAGGAGTCGCGACCTCTTGGAAAGGGGTGTCCTGTGGGCATCGCAGGTCATTCCCCTTACCTTTAACATAGGCATTGTCCCCGTCACACTCACGGGCACACCTCTCTAGAGCCAGGTAGTTTTACAGATACTACATAGGTACTCTCTCTAACAGGCTACATTAAGGCGAGCCCTATGTGACGCTTCTCCTCCCTTTCTTTAAACAAAAATGCAGCGAAGTTACAGTGTTGAAGGCTGTCAAGTGTGGCTGCTGCAGCAGCTCCCCTGGAAGTCCAAGCCAGGTGTCTGCAAAGCTGAGTTGTTTGCGTGGTGACTCCAGGCATGCAACCATTTCGACATGCCAGCTACAAACAAAAAGCGAGCAGTGGAAGAAAATGTATTTATCCGATTTCAAAGGATATGTTGATAGCAGTCATTGGCTCGGCCACAGCATGACCAGAGCCAAAGTCTCCTGGGTTTCCCTCCCGTCTTCCCAAAACAAAGTGCTAGTATCGTTTCCCTAAATAGATCAGAGTTTTTGGAGGTATCTTTTTGTCTTTTTTTCCCACTCACATGGGATGGTAGAAAGCGATGAGAACGTAAAGCTGCTTTCTGTGAACACTCACTGTAGCTGGGTCAATATGCCATACTGGAGGTTAATACCCCAGGTAAGTTTAATTTCTCAAATCTGCACAAAGGTGATGACATGAAAAGTAAACCAGTTTCCCATGTGCACGCTCGTGGGTGTAGCTAACGAAAAGGCAGAGTCTCCAAAATAACAAAGGCATCATACCAGCACAGCCCTGCTTTATCCGTTTCTCTCTCAGTGCAATATCCGTGTCTCCTCTTCACTCTGCAGAGATGTTTTGAAATAAATGTCAAAATCAAGTATCTGCTCCCAAGCGTGAGTCACAGACAAAGTTTTTGATAAACACTGGGACATGAACGCACGCATCCACATGTCACATCAAGACCAGTGGGCAGCTGCGAACGCATCATCACGACCTCTCAGCTTGTCACGTCTCGCCCAAGGCAGCGTTCGTGAGGTCAGAAACAGAAGCCTCCAAAGGAAGGTCAGCGCAGGCAAAATGATTCACAGCCTAATGAATTCCTAACCAAGAAACTGTACCAATACCCCAAAATTACAGAAGCCGTGAATTTCATGGGAAAAAAAAATGACCTTTCAAGAGGTATAGTTATAAAAATAAATTTATTATCTGTCAAGACTTACAAAATCTGACCCCCCCATCCCATTCATCACAGTGGCATGATGCTTTGCGTGCACTGCAGAATTTATTTCTGTAACATTTGTCAGAAGGAAGGAAAATATTACAGCTGGAAAACTGAACTGTCACGTCATTAACTACTGTGCTCCAGGTCACACAGGAAATTTGAAGCAGAAGCAAGAATTCAGCATCTCAGAACCAGTTCACTGCTGTAAGGGGAGAAATCAATCTTTCCTCCCCGAAAGCTCAGAGCAGGCCTTGTAGCTGAGGATACCGGGGCGAGAGGGAGGTGAGCGGGCAGCCGCGGAGGGGGCTGCAGCACCCGGGTGGGTTGGCAGTGGGAAGGGGCGATGGTTGGCCTGTTCACAGCCCAGAGACACCCTTTCACCGCTGCTCCTGCTGCTCCAGCAGCCATTTCAGACCAGTTTTGGCCCCTTAAAACCAGCATACGTACAGTGACGTACGTAC